GGTCCCCCGGGGTCCTGCTGCTCCACCACCCGGCACCATGCTGCTGATCCTCGGCCTCCTGGTCTTGGTGCCCTGCCTGGCTCTCCTAACCTCCTTCCTCCTCTCTCCAGGAGGCAAAAGCGGTGGCAACAAGAAGAATGACGGCGTGAAGGTAAGTCCCCTCCCCGCCGCCCTCTCCTGCCTGCCCCTTCACTGCTGGGGCAGGGCTGGGGGTCTCCGTGCCGTGGCAGTGGAGGTCTCCGTCCCGTGCCGGTGGTCCCCGTGATACCCTGTGCTTTAAAGGGCAGCTGTTGGCCCGGCTGTCCCGGTGTGTCCCCGTACCACCGGCTCGGCTCCTGCCAGGACAGGCAGTGCACGGGAGGCTTTGCAGAGCAGCAAGAGAGGGGAGGAGGCTTTTGCTGGAGGGGTGTGTGTGGGAAATTCGCTGCTCTTTCATTGCCTGCAAAATTTGCTTGCCCCTTGCTGCCCCCAGGGAGGGGGAGAGGCAGAGGCTGGGCCAGGAGAGGCGACAGGGGACAGGGGGAGGCAGCTTTGCAGCCCAGAGCCACAGCTTTAGCCTGGCAGCAGCTGCCCGGCGAGGTGGGTCGCTGCATCTCCTGCTTGCCCCAGCATGCGTCCCGCTGCGGCTGCTGTGGCCGGGCTCGCCCCCCAGCTCCTGTCCCATCCTGTCCCCAAGGGCTGGTGTGCTGATGGGTGGCATACGGGTGCCTTAACCCTCTCGGCAGCACTGCTGGCCCCCTGTGCCCAGTGCAGACAGAGAAAAGAACTTGGTGATGCTTGACAGAGCAAATGGCTTGGGCAGTGCTCTAAAAGCAAGACGGTGCTTGGTGGACCTTGTTTCTTGGGCTGCAGAGCCCTCAGGTTTGGCTGCCCCTCTGAGGTGGGGCCACAGCTCTTCTCCAGGACAGAACGGCTCCTGGAGGCAGCAAAATCCTGCGTCCAAGCAGCTTCTTCTGATGATAGGGAGATGAGGTGGTTAGCGAGCTCTGTCAAGCTCCTCCTGTGGGAAGGAATGGTCTATAGGAGGGGCTTTCTGTCCTTACCTGTTCCCTTCATGAATACAACAGGGCAGAGCTGGCATGATCGCATCCCCCATCACAGGGCAGGGGTGCGAGGTGTCAGGCAGAGCTTTGGGACCCCGACTGCAGCACGGCTGCTCTCCTTCCTCCAGCCCTTTCGTAGGGACCCAGCTGTTGGGCTGTGAGGGGTGCAGGGTTTTGGAAGAGCAGAGCCCTCAGCTGGCTTCTTCCCTCCTCAGTCCACAGGGTCAGTGGAGCCAGAGGTCTAGGGATGGCTTGTCTTTCTCCCACTGCTTCCAGACCCTGCAGCTGGGACAGGACCATGCACAAGCCTCCAAACCTGGGCTCAGCTCCACAACAGACCATTCTGGCCATCCAGCATTATTCTGCAACATGAAGCTGATGGCCTGCATTGCTATGAGAGGACATTGCTTCGGAACGTGGTGTCAGGGTATCACGTGGCTTCCAGGACAGGATTGCTAGGTTTGGACAACAGTGCTGGCACAGAGGGGACAGGTCTCATGGGAGTCACAGCATCCCATCTGCCAGCCACTGCTGGCCCATCCGCTGCTGCTCTGAGGTCCCGGCTGCTTCTGGGGGTTGCCTGAGAAGTGACACCACAGGCAGCTGACTTGGTATGAGCTGCTGGAGCAGAGGTGAGAGCAATCAGGAGATGCAGTTTTAAGCTGCAAAAGGAGGGATTGGCAGATGGAAAGGATTCATCAGGCATGGTCCTGAATCTAATTTTCCAGCAGAAAGGGAGAGCCTTGAATTTCTTCTCTAGCATCGGTGGGATGGTGTGGAGGCATAAGACCATTTGCCAGCCCAAGTTGCTAATGATGCTCCCTCCTGGACGTCAAAGCCTCTTTGAGGGCAGATGTTATCCTGGGAAGAGGGGCACTTTCTGTCATAGCTAGTTTGGGTGAACAGCCTTCTGGCCGATCACTGAATTTCAGCAGAGAGAGTCTGGTTTCGGAGTGGGGTCAGAGAGGCTGGTTTGTATCTGCAGCCCTCAGCCCCTTGCTGGTGAGCAGGGAACAGTGGGTGAGGCTTTGTCCTGAGTGCCATCTCCCAGCCAACGCTCAGCTCAGGAGGGTGTACAATCTCTGGAGAATGAGCTTGCTTTTTTTTGCCCCCTTTCCAACAAGCGGAGGTGATACAGCCTGGCTAGATGGCCAGGAAGGTAGAAGAGGAGAAGACAAAGTAGAGAGGCAAGCTCATTCCCAATAGGTTGCTTGTGTTGGCTGCCTTCAGCATTACCATTCCCACCTCTCATTCCCATGCTCAGGCTGGTGGGACTCGCAGCGTAACCCGCTCACGGGGGCACAGGGAGGCTGGGTGCCTCAGGCGAAGCTTTAATGGCCTGCTGTGGGCAGCTGGCAGATGTCAGGGCATTGCTGGGCAGTGTTCATTTCTTTCCATCTTGCTGGAAAAGCGAGGCAGGAACCTGGAAACCTGCCTTGGGCGGGTGGGAAGGTGGGAAGGGAAGGGTCCTGCCGGCTCAGAGCAGGGCTGTAAGAGTCAGCCACATGTGGTGTGGTTCCTTGTTGGAAGAGTTGTGTCCCCATTTGGAGGATCCTGCTGGACCAACCGTCCCCAGGAGAGCAGACAGGTCCCAGGCAGCCACCCCTGCCCTTCCTGCCCAAAGCCACGCAGGTGGGCAGCAGGTACCTGGTGCTGCCCTCCACCCCTCTGGCACTGGGATAGTGCTAGCCCAGGCTCAGAGGGCTTAAAATTCACCCTCCCGAGGAGGTTCCTCCCCCTACTAAAAGCATTCACAGCACCAAAAATCCCCCTTGAGCCCTGCTCTGGGTTCCGTGGGAGGTCTTCTGGTCCCAGCAGCTATGATACCTTCACTGCCCTGTGTAGTGTCGCATCTCGTCACATTGTAAACTAATGAAATCACTGCCCCATGTTGCATCCTGTCCCGTCCTAAATTAATGAGCTCACTGCCCCGTGTCGCATCCTGTTACTGTATGTCCAGACTCGACGCGGTCACTGCTTTGTGTTGCATTCTGTTGCGTCTTGAAATTTCTGCAGTTTACTGCCCCGTCTCATGTCCTTGGGTAGCAGAAGCTGTCAGCCCTTCCTGCAGACAGCCCAGCTCCGGCGGCTCCATTTCCTGTGAGGCTCCTTCTGAAGCACCACAGCTCACTCTGCCCTTTAGGACATGGGGTGCTTTTGGCAAAGGAGGGGCAAGGATTAATGTAGGACCTAGCAAGGGAGGGGGGAGAGCTGCACCCACAGAGGGGGAACCTCAGTGACGATGCTGGTGGGAGCCAGTTAGGGTGTGAAAAAAGCAATGAGGGGGAATGGATATCAGCAGTTTTTATACTGCAGCCCACCCATGCACCCCAACGGGTTGCTCCGTGGACTTTTCCAAGAGATTTTGCGCTGTGTGTGCTGCTTTTCCCTCTGCAGGGCAGGCAAAGCTGGTGCCTCGTTAAATACGGCTGGTAAAACACTTTGTTATTTGGCACTGCAGCTTCTGATTCCTGCACACTGGTGTTCCCTGTCGCCTGCTGTGATTCAGCCCCTGGGAGCTGGAGGTGGAGAAAGGGCAGGAGGCCAATGCGCACGTCCCCCCATCTCCTGGCTAGATTCAGGATGGAGACGGGGAGCAGAGCATGGCAAGGAAGGAGAGCACAGAAGTAGTTTGGGATTTGCAAGCAGAAAAGTGGCTTTGGGGTCATCCGACCCGAAAGCCTTACAGCCTAGCAGTAGCGGTCAAGGATGGAGATAAATATGGGCATGCGTAAGGTCTTCTCTTTGTAGGAGACTTGTCCTGATTTAAAGCACAGGAGCTGTGCTCAGGACAGCTTCCCACACGGTGTGTCTGCCTTGCAGGATTGAGTAGCAGTTGCCATGCTGGCTTTAAACCAGCCAGCTTAGTACTGGTCTAGGTCCAAAGCTAACTGAGCATCTCCATGTTAGTCAGCAGCATGGGCAGATGCACCCAGAACAGCTCCAGAACCTGTAAGCCTCCGGACAGCATTCACATGGGGCGCAGGGCTGCGCAGATGGTGGAGCTGCCTTAGCTTTCCAGCGTCCCCACTCCTGTTTCTGTGAGCTTGCTGGCCTGGTCACAAAGCCACCAGGGTGGTCATCGACTCCTAGGGGACTCCCTTTGGGGCTAGCCAGGCCCCTGGGATAAGCAACACCAGAGACTGTGGCAGAGCAGGAGAGAAAGGTGCCAGCAGGAACTTGGGGAGGGAGCTGGCATGGCACCACCAGCAGCGCAGCCAGCGGCACGTCCCTACAGGAGCACCAGATTGCCCCCCCATGCCTTTCGTTTGCCCCTCGATGAGGACCACGAAGGGTGGCTCAGGAGCTGCTGCCTCTCATGTGCCGCCCTCTGCCTTTCTCACTCTGTGTCTCTTCCTGTTCCATCTCTTCTCCTTGTTTTTCCAGAAAAGAAAGTCCAGTTCCAGCGTTCAGTTAATGGTGAGTGTCCTTCGTCTTCCTCAATGCTGATATTGCTGGGCCTCTCTACATGTTCCAGCTTCCCCTGTTTTTGGAAGTTACCTCGGGGTAGGGAAGAAGGGACACTGGGGTTGGAGGGAACATCCTCAAAGCCGTATCACCCACAAACCCCATTAACAGGGTTGGTGCAGGCACTTGCTGGCCACCAGCTGGTGGGAAGCCAGCCCTGGTTCTTGCTGATGGGTTCTCATGCCGTTTCTCCCAGTTCTCCTGACTCAGGTCTGCAGGCTGCATCGGTCCAAGGAGCCTTGGAGAAACACCTTCCATGCCTCTGCGGGGACTGTATGGTCATGGGACACCTTGCCAACCTACATCGGGGTATTATGGGTAATACATAAGCAAGGCTCTGCTGGCAAGAGCTAGCAGAGCCATTGCTCTAGCTCCGCTAGCAGAGTCGCCTTGATGGGGCTCCTGGAGAGAGACGGGGGGTCAGTACCCCCCTCACCCCCCAAATCTGTGTAGTGCTCAGCTGTTTCTTGAAAGAGCTGTGTCTCAGCCTTCGGTGGTCCATGTGGGTCTTGGAAGCACTCTGTTTTATTGTACATTTCTCTCCCTACTCTGCGGTCAGTGTGGTCTCTCTCACTCCTGCACAGTCCCCTCTTTCTCATCCCAGCCTCTCCTCGCTGTTTAATTTGTACATCTCTCTCTTTATCGTACAGTCAACATGGTGTCTTCCACCCCCGCACAGCCCCTCTCCCTGCCCCTCCTGCAACGCTCCTAGGAACCCACCAAGTCCCCCTGGACCTGCCCCCGTCTCTGTCCCCACAGGCATCGGTAGGAAAGGCAGCGCCGTTCCTATGAGAGCCTCCACAGCCCAGCTCTTGTGCCCTTGGCTACAAGGAGTGGAGGTCAGGGAGGGCTCTGCCAGCGCTGCCCTAGAGCTGTGGTTGAGGACGGGTTGGACCTGCTGGTGTTTTCCTTGGTTTCTGTCCGTTGGCACAGTCGAGCGCTGTGGGGTCGGACTCGGGGGGCTGTCGAACACACGAGCTCTGTCTGGCGTGGGGAGAAGACCCCTCTCACCACCCCGTCTCCTTTCTGTTCTTTGCTCAGGAATCGTCAGAGAGCACCAACACCACCATCGAGGATGAAGACACCAAAGGTACTGGCAGGGGGCCCCAGGAGGGTGGGCAGGCTGTTTCAGAGGGCTGCTCTGGGGTCGTTAGTCCAGCCACCCCTAACGAGATATTGGCTATGGCAAAACCCATGACCATCGAGCTGCCTCGGGGCCCTTCAGGGGTGGCTTTCATTCCTTGGGGCTGAAATGCCCACAGGTGCTTTCACTGCTGGGTCACCACCACGTTGGGGCACTGCTGGTGAGGAGGAGGGGCTCCCAAAAAAAGGGATGTTCCCTGAAAACAGGCATGGAAGTGGCAGAAATCTGCAGGGATAGCAGCCCGTCTGCCTGCTCCTCCAAAATAAATGGCCCTTTGATAAAAGCCTCCAGGGGAAATCCCTGCCTCCCTCCTGCCAGGGCCAGCTTTCTAAGAATAACCGAGGGAATAATCTATCGGTGCTAATTTGTAAAGTCTCTCAACGAAGCGATCTCAACACAAAGCAAGGTGGGCTTTGGCCTGACATGAGAGCTAATGGGACATTATTTCTCCTGGGGAATGGCTCCCTGGGAGCAGACACGGTGGCGGGTGGCACTTGGGAGGTGGTGGGGGTCCCTCTCCTTTCTGAATGACTCGCAGGAACATGCTCCCTCTCCTTTTGCTAGCCGTGGTACAAAAAAAAAATTAAGTCAAGCATGATGCTGATTTGCATTTGGAGCAGAACCTCATTAATAAGCCCAGGGTTACCTCTGACAGCTCCTCATGCAACCTGGGGAGCCCAAGGTGCTCTCACAGCCCCGTCCCTTCCCAGCTGAGCCAGCAGTGCCCATGGTCCATGGTGCCGTGCTCTTCGCCAGGTCCCTCCTTGTGTCCCCCTGGGGTGGATGGCCACATCATGTGATCTCCCCCCCCCAGCTGAGACCCTCTCCTCCCGTCTCAGAGGGAGGTGAGAGCATCCTTGGTCCAGCCTGCCCTGGCTGGCCCCTGCTCTGAGTTCACGGGGTAGAAAGTCCTGGCTTGGCAAGGCTGAGCAGCCAAGACCAGCCTATGCCACCTTTTTGGGCCAAGGGCAGCTCACCACTTGGTGATTACCCCTTTTGCTCTCTAGGAAAATACAGGGTTTTTTGGTTTTGCCCTGACTTTGGAGTCTTTCCTCTCCAGGCATGAAGAGCCTTTCCCCACATCTCTCTCCTAAGTCCCTCTCCTGCTTTTCCACTGGAGTTTCCAATGGCCCCCAATCTCCTGCCGTCAGTTTCTAATGAAGAAAAGATACCTCACCGATAGCTCAACACCAGCACTTCTGGTTTGTTTTCTCCTTTTATTTTCTTTTTCTCTTTAAACCAACAGTACGGAAGCAAGAAATCATTAAAGTCACAGAGCAGCTGATTGAAGCAATAAGCAACGGTGACTTCGAGTCCTACACGTGAGTGTGGGTTTGGGCCAGGGTGGGGGCTCAGCCTCTCGGAGCGGGTGCTCTCATGGTGACAATGCAGCCCAGGAGGTTTTACTGTTGCCCAGGGTGACCGGGTTGACGTGGTGGTGGGGCATGGAGATCATCCAAGAGAAGCAGGGAACATAATTTTCCAAACCTGGTGCTTCTCTTGCACCAAGCTGACCGCATCTCTCTGGTCTCATTATCATGGATGAGCGCATTTTCTGGTTTGCAGAAAGACGAATAACTGTAAATGTGATTTATGGTGGAAGAAGGAACGTTGCATCCATGGTATCCATTATGTCTGGATTGCCGCGGGCTGCTTGGAAGCGTCACTGCTTTCTACTCACTGAGCTGGTGCCCCTCAGAGTACGCTTCTTCTGTGTCCAAGGCCTATTTAATTAGCGGTTTCTGAGTGAGTGCAGGTCTTCATCCCTGCCTCAGACAATCTCAGCAGGGCTATTTCGATACAGAGCAGAGAACATGAGTTTTTCCCTGCTGTTTTTCTTTCTTACAAAGAAGACGGCAGTGTTTTGGGGGGTTTAATTGGAGATGGTGACGATGGGGAATTTACCCTGCCTCACTGGGGTCCTGGCTGCGGGTGGAGGGCTGGAGGTGAGGTGGGCTGGGCTGCATGCAGGGTGCAGGGATGAGGCCAGACGTCGGCTTGAATTGCTCACTGGTGCAGAGGCTCCTTGGTCTCAGCCCGAGGACGAGCTGTTTGGGTTTTGCAGGTTCTGACTCCAGAAGCAGTGAGACAACCTCTCTCTTTTCTCTCCCCTTTCCCACCTCCCCAGGAAGATGTGCGACCCTGGGATGACAGCCTTCGAGCCTGAGGCTCTGGGCAACCTTGTGGAAGGCCTGGATTTCCACCGATTCTACTTTGAAAACCGTAAGCAGCCCCCTTGTCTCCTGAGGGCCCCTTCCCACCTCCCTGTGTCTTGACCTCCATCAACTTGCTGGAGAGAGGAGGGTGAGGGTGGCTTTGGGAGCATCTCTGGATGACCTGGAAGATCCCAGCAGAAGGTGAATCAAGCCTGTTAGGCCAACTGGGGCAGGCCTGTATGCAGAGGAGTTATTTAGTTAGCTGCTTTCTATGTGGACCTGTCCGTGCAGCATTTACTCAGCTTCTCGAAGCAGAGAGCTTAATCCAAGCATCTCCCCTTCCCACATCTTCCCTTGCCGCCCTGGGCAAGCGCCACCCAATCTCTTTCCCCTGCCTAAAGCTGCCTCTGCTGTCCCCTCTCCAGTGTGGTCCCGGAACAGCAAGCCCGTGCACACGACGATCCTGAACCCCCACATCCACCTGATGGGAGATGAGTCCGCCTGCATCGCCTACATCCGCATCACGCAGTACGTGGATGCGGGAGGGATCCCCCGCACCGCCCAGTCTGAGGAGACCCGCATCTGGCACCGCCGGGATGGCAAATGGCAAATCGTCCACTTCCACAGATCCGGCGCGCCCTCTGTCCTACCGCAGTAAGCCCTGTGAGGCTCCGGGAATGGGGCAAGGGGGGCATGGGGGGACGGTGTGGGCTCCTCGTGGCATTGGGGCTGCCAAGTGGGTGGGCTCCTGCCCCCAGCACCTGCGGTGGGGAGGAAATGGCCAATGGTCATGAGATGGCGATGGGGAGAGGGATGCTCTGCCGAAGGGATGGTGGGAGCAAACTCCGTCTCTGCCCGGTTTGTGTTTTGCAGCTGAAGTGCGGTCCTGCCCGCGTGGGGTTTGTCACTGACTGACTACCAAGGGGAGACCTCCTCCGACATCTTCACCTATGGGACTTCGGCTGTTGGCTCTGCTGCTTGGTTCCCGCTGGAATAACCCCTCGCTTCTCACCGCACACACGCAACGGCCCTGCCGGCGCCGCGCAAGCATCCCATCGAACCCCTCCCACCCCACCGGGGCTGTGGCACTGGGCCCCCTTCCTCTGCATGAACCAAGAAAAGAGAAACCATGAACCTAAACCCGAGCATCTGGCCAGTGAGATGATGCATGCCAGGGTGAAGGCCTCCCTCCTCGGCTGCTTGGAGCTGCTGGGGCCCCCCACCGCCTGGCACGTTCTCCTGAATTGGGCTTGGACTTGTCATCTGCCTCCATCCCCACCTCTGCTGAGAGTCCCCTGAGGAAGAGGAGGGCAGGGGGGCAGTTTTGAGCTGCTCTGTGCCGCACCCTCGTTGTGTGCTGGTGGATTTTGCTTTGCTGCTATCGAGGTCCCCATCTGCCGCCGTGGCACCCGCCTGCTCCCCACCCGAGCTCCCGCTTCCTGGCAGCCTCAGCCAGGGAACTGCGGTTTAAACCCTTTGCAAAGTCCATGTTCCACATGCCCCCGGGCGAGGAGGGCAGTGTTTGGATGGGTGAGTAAAGGCTTTCTGTTCATTTTCCCTTCCCAGGAGCGTAGGCTGGCTCTTTCCCAGGAGCGCGAGTAGGTTTGTGCCCTGGCTCCGGGGCGGCTGCCCTGCAGAGAGGGATGCTCTCCCTCCTTCCTCCCTTCTCCCTTTGGAGCAGGGACCCGCGAAGCTGGGAGAAGAGAGGAGGAGAAAGACAACTGCTTCCCGGCACCGCATCGGCACAGCTGGGAGCCGGGGCTCTCCCAGCCATGCCATGGCGGTAGCATCGCTCCCGCCCCCTCCTCCCCACCCACCACCCAGCCTGGACCCTTTACTCCAGCACCCAGCCCTGCTGAGCACCCACCCCTGCCCCTCACGTGCAGCACCCGGCGCTCCCCCCGCACCTGACTCCCAGCCTGGGACGGGGGCAACCAAGCTGGCCACCGATGCGGGGCACAAACCTCCATCACCCCCCCGACTCCTTCCAGCGACGACGAGGAATGCAAGCTTTATAAAGTAACAAAACTGCAGAATCTGATCATGCTTCGAAGAAAACAAACAAGCCTTTAGCTGTCTTCTACTTTGAGCGCATGCCTTTTTATAGGGAAAAGAAAACAACCTACCGTGTATTTCGTAACTTGATTTTGAGTATTTGCTGAAATGGATCTTTATGTAATAACTAGAAACATTCAACTGTTTAGGGCAGGGAGGGTGAGGGGATTTCGGGGGGTTGCTGTTTTTCGTTGCGTTTACATTTGGAGAGGGGTTGCGCCGCTACGATGCTTCTGCACCCCCCTCCTCGGGGCACCTTCCCGCACCCCATGGGTCTTCCTGCAGGGCGAACCAGGCAGTGGCTCTTGGGGAGCCACCGGGACATGGCTTTCAAGACAGAAGACATGGCCGGGAATGGGAATTTTGGTCTCACCTCTTTGCCGTCAGGTAGAGGTCCAAGGGTGGGTATTTTTCCGGCAATTCTTCTGTTTCTTGTTCTCTTTTTTCCGACTGGAACCTCTTTGCTCATTGATGTGAGGCTCCTGCAGCGCTGTTGCCCCGGGGGACTTTCTCGCTGCACTCTCTTCATCTGCATGGCGTTTAACTTTCTAGACGGTGCGTGTGTTGAAAAACAAAGAAATGAACAAAAACCCGCTTGTTTTGGACATAAAAAAAAAAGGAAAAAAAAAAAAAAAAAAAAAAAGGAAATGTTTTCTCCATGTAAATTCTGAGTGTGTATTTTGCCTTTTCTGTGGTTTTGAATGCTTTGCTCTCTGTCGAGGCAGGGACGGCTGCCACGTGAAACGCAGCCGCATCCTTGCAGACTGCAAAAATATTTTCCCACTGGATGGAGGGGTAGAAATCCAAACCACTGGGGCACAAACAGGCCCTGAGAGGTGTTTCGGTGCATCCTGCTGTGCCGGCAGTGCAATGGCTGCTTGCTGGCCACATGTGTAGGAGATGCCTTTTCAAGGGCAAATCACACGGGTTCTCCATGGGTGCCAGTGTGCGTCCCCATGCCCTTGGTGGACCTGTGCTGTTTGACCGTGGAGCTGTGTTGGCTTGCAAGAGGTGGCCCCAAAGCAGGGAAATCCATGCAGGGAGAGGATTAGCTTTTAAGGTAGAGTTTGGGTGTTTTTACAGATCTGTTTTTCTTCCCGTAGTCGCGTAGTGCTGAAGTGTTTTTTATTTCTAAAGGAAGGACCTAGCTCTTTCGCAGTTCTCTCTCTCCCTCTCCAGGGCTGGATCTGAAGCCAGCCATGGTGAGTGTCTCATCCACTTCCCAATGCCCAGGCTCTCTGGCTGTTAAGAGTATTTTTGGGGGTCAATGTGAGATGGATGAGGAAAAAAGAGGCCATGGCAGGGCTCTGCGTGGGGGCTGTAATGCAGATGTGATTTCAGCCTGGTTTTCCAGCTGCTGATAGCTGTGGACCTCGGGTGGGCTGTGAGGGTGAAGCTGCTCCAGCAGCTGCTGCTGGAGAAAGGTCTGGGACAGGGGATGCGGTGGGGTTTGCCAGGTATGATGGATGAGATGCTGGGGTAGATACAATCTCTTTTGACTGAGAGCCCACTTTGGGCAGTTGCTGCTAGGGAGGAACATCTTGGTTTCCAGGGAGGCTTTGAGCTGCCCTCTGGGAGGCAGTTTCTCCTCTTTGAGGTTTCCCTACTGTCATCAATCCAGTGACAGGTTCCTCTGGAGGCAGCTGGATGGCCTTGCAACACCCAAAATGCTCCTGATCCTTTCCAAGGGAAGCAGAGTCTGGGGTTTCAACTCCTTTCTAGTCTTCCAGTCAAGCTGAAGTCTGACCAAGGAAGACCCAATTTCCCAACCTGCCCATGCTGGCAGCATTAAGCACCTGCACTTTAGGGGTCTGTTCTGCCTCGTTTCTTTTCCCCACCTCTCCATGCTTCTCCAGAGCAGGTTCCTGTATGCCCAGAGCATCTCTGAGCAAGCACTGATAAACCACCACCCTTTCTTTTAGTAGCCATGGTGAACAGCTTCTGTCTCTGTCTTCCTTCACATTTCCTGATTTCTCCTAAACTTGCAGGAAAACTAAGAAAAAAAAAATCACCAAATGCTACCACCCTTCTTTGGCTCACAGAGCCAGGGACGCTGCCCTTACAACCATACTTTTAAGCTGGCACCATCCCTCACATGTACTAACTGGCGTCACCCCAACAGTCCCACCACGGTTCTGGAGATGACAAGGTCCAGGGCATGTTCCCAATAAGCAATATGGACAAGGCCACCTTGTTGGGATGGAGTTCACCACCATGGACCTCCTGTCCCCATCAGGCTGTGGCACATTTCATTTCCGAGTATAGATACAGCCCGACCTACCTGATTGCCCGGCCATCGAGGTTAAACCAAACTCAGAAGTCCTCCAAACTGATCATCTCTTCCACCTCTCGCAGACCACAGGGGATATCTGAGTGGAAGCACTTGCTGCGGTGGTCTCAGGCTCCCAGCACTGCGGGTGGGCTTGGGAATTGCCCATTTTCCCTTCCTGGCTGCCAGGATTCCAGGTCAGGCTGCAACATCGTCATTTCTCAGGTCTTGCTAGTGCGGCCACTCTGGAAGAAGAAGAGGCCACTCCTGGGCCTCTGCTCTTTGCTGGAGGAGCGAGCGCTCCTCTCCTCACCCTGGCCAGGCACGGCCAGGAGAGCTGTCTTTCCCCTCCGCCCCGAGTAAATTCCCCAGCTGCTGGGAACCAACCCCCCCGTCTGACCCCAAATCTGCCTCCTCTCCTTTTGCCCTCGACAAGCTGATGCTCCCATGGAGCCCCAGAGGTTGGTGCAGGCAGTGGCTGCCATCTACCCCCACTTTGAGCTCACAGTCTACTCTGCAGTCCATGGCAGGATTGCTGAGGAGGACCAGCAAAGAGCAGTGCTGTGTTTGATAGGGCAGCCACATAACCCCATGGACTAAAAGAGGTGTCTGTCAGCAGAAGATCCCATAACCACCTCCTCTGATCATCCTAGGGGCCAAGCTAACCCTTCCTCCCTACCGCAGGACACATCTCATGGTGTACACCGCTCTCTTGATGCAACCACCATCCTCCTGATAGCAAGGTAGAGATCTCGCCGTTACCCATTTCCAAAGGTGCAGGTCCCAGCTCATCCATACCAGGCAGGGAAACCCAGAAGTGAACAGGCCGTGGGAACATCAGAGGAGGAGCTGGTGGCCCAAAAGGCCACCCACCGGCTGAACGTCCTTCCCACCTGCAGGTCGACAGGGGGTGGGAGAGGGGGCAGTGGAGAGGGCGATATTGAGCGGCTCCTTCCTTCTTTGGGTTGTTGTCCCTTTTTTCTAACTGTTGCACAATTTTAGGGCTTTTGTAACATTTTTTTGGACAAGCAGGGAAAATATGTTAACAGTGGTTTAAGAAAAAAATGAGATCTCTCTCTCTTATATATTATATATATAAAAAATATATATACATACAGGAAAACTTTATGGAAATATTTATTTAAGA